GTCGGCGGACCAAAACCGCGAAAGATGGCGCGCCGGCAAGTCGCCCTGCCGGCAGCCCGCCGCCGCCGTCGTCCGGCGGGCCGAGGCGAGCAGCTTGACGAGGGAGAGAACGGTGAAAAAGCCGACCGTCATCACCGAGGCAGAGACCACCACACTGCCGACTTTCCTCAGGGACGGATTCCCCAGGGGGCCCTCGCGAGCCACCGCGGGATCGGGTCCCCGATGCGGAGTAGGTGCCTGTTCCCTGATATACAGCATAAGTCCATAAATAAATATATATAAGGAGAGCTATCGATTTAGTTAATCATTCATAGGTTGCCCCAGTCGTGCACACAAAAAAGAAATAGTATGGGACACCGCCGCAGTGTCCCAAACTATTGCTTTCCAAGCGAACTTGCGACACTGAGAGGGGAATATATAAAGAAAATCTACTGGGTTAATTATTTGCTAATATATTTATAATTATAGTTTAGATATAATCAGTAATTAAAGAACTACCTTGTTAAGGGTCAAAAATACCAATAATAATAATAAAGTGAATCAATAACTATTATATTAAATGATTAAAAAGAAATCGAAACTCATCTGAATCACGGAAAACACTCCGCGTCACGACAAAATCAGATAGGTTAACTCTATTAGGATTGCATTAAACCCTTAATAATATGGCATATCAACACTGAACACATTAGTTTTTATTTAACGGAATGAAAAACCCCGCTCATCAACGCAAGTATCTTCATTAGAGGACTCAGTTTAGTACCCATATACGTATCAATCTATATAAATATAGGGGCATAGGCACATATTGGGATTTGCTATTTAAAATGAATTCGCAGCGGAGATATTTTTTAGAAGCCGACTCACGAGCAACCCTGTCTCACCGGGAATGCGCGATACCACGCGAAACATTGCATCGTCGCCGAGATCGCCCTTTTCTAATAGTTCGCTCGCATCCGTTAGTTTTTCTTTTCCATTTACGCCATGTTTGGGTAATTTGGCATTCCGGCCTTTATTGACATCGCCAACCTCTAAGGTATTGGTCGGATCGTTTCGAGGGCGTTTCTTTGCCATGGCTGATATGGATTCCCCCTTTTTGGCGCCTCCTCCTTTTTCCTTTTCTTGTACGCTATTCTGCTCTTCCAGTCGACGATGACTATTCGCTAAATTCGTTATTTCGCGAAGTTTTTTAATATAATCTGTAATGCGCTCAATTTTTAGCGAAAGCTGCAAATCAACGCCAGAGTCAATCTCCGACCCTTCGCTCACTCGCTTCGCATTCGAATTTCCTTGATGATGGGCTCTATTTTGAAGTTTATCCAGTGAATACATCGCTAGAGAAGCGGCAAAGGCTGCTGATAAAAACAAACGAGCCTGCTCTTCGAGGGAATAATAAGAAACAACGATATCTTCGTCTAATTCGTCGAGCTTGGGAAGTAAATTTTTTTGGATTTTTTCCAAATTTTCCTGCATCGAGTTGATTACAGGTACGATTTGTGGATCCAGATTCATAGCTATTTCTCGTGAATAATAATAATAATAATAATACACTAAACAAACCTTCTTTATATTAGGGAGAAATAAAAATAGTAAATGATGGGAATGAAAAGAAAAGAAAGTAACGTTGATTGCCAGCACAAAAAGAGTATGAATATGAAAATAGATGAACTTAAGGCAGACGGTGAAAATATACTTCTGAACATGAAAAGTATAGTACACGAAATGCATATATAGTATAAAGCCAACATTTCATTGAACGTCTAATCATTTGGAGTGTTTTCACACTTTTCAATGTTAAACAAATTAAATCCCTACAAAAAGTAAGTTATTACTTGCTATTTATTCAACTATGATGAGATGGAATATCGTAAAAAAACATGGAGAAGTAAAAATGGTGAAAGGGATTTGGAGTAAAGTATAATCTTTGAGTAAATTCACATATGCTCAAAGGAAATTTTCTCTAAAAAATACACCAAGCTAGGTCACACGGTCTTTCCTAAAGTTGCCTTTTGTTAACATAATATAGTAATGGATAATAAAATAACAATTCCTTTCAAACAAACTTAAGAAAGTAGACTATTATAAATAAAAGTTCATGGGGTTCGACCCCTTCTCTTGCTATCATCTGAGGTTGCAGATAATATCCTCTTATATTATCACTGTCTATATTTTATTTTCACTTTTTCAAAAATAGTTAAAAGCATAATTGTGAAGTTCCATTCTTTCAAATCCTACCTGATCATACAAACAAACTTATTGATAAGGAATATTTATTATTATTATTATTATTACTAGAAAAGCAAGAAAAGTGGTATGTAATTACTTTACTTCCTTTTTTATTTTTGTATTGAATACTTATTTAAAGTTGCACGTAATAGGTTAAAGCATCTGGGTGTTGATATGATCTCGTAGTGTCAGTAGTAATTTGGCCGCTTGGAACACAACTATCCCCTCCTTCAGAAGTTTGGAAATACTTAGTATCCTTCTCATGAACGAGGGTAGTTTTTCGAGTAAAGGAAAACTTAAAAAAACGACTTTTTTTCGAACTGGAATTGTGAGAATTGGGCTGGGATTCAGAGGCAGTGACTATCGGGATCTCGGTTCTCAATAGATTATTATTGTTACCAATATCCTTTCCTAAGGGATGCTCTATAGATCTTCCCGATACATTGCCAATATTCGCGCCTGAAGAAGATCGCTCAAAGGCAATGGGTTGCTCATTAGGTAAGAAAGAAGATTTATTCAGCTGATTACCACAAGGATCTGACAGAAAAGAGGTGGGAATTTGAGCAATATTCGTCTGAGTGGTACTCTCGGAAGTTGGGGGAAGTTCTAAAGAAGTGACATCGTGCTCTATTTTAACAAAATTCGCACTCGAAGGGGATATTGGGGGTGAAAAACGGGGAAGAGATGCTTCGGATAAAGAATTCGGAGCCGTGTTACCAAAATATTCACTCATCCCGAGATTCGTATTGCCAGTTTTCTTCTGCAGCGTCGCATCGACAGATATTAGCGTATTACTGACTTCTTTAACACCACCGTTTCCTCTTCCCAGGACCTTTGTCGTTGTCGAAGGCGCAATAAGATTCGAAGGATCAATCCGCCAGTGATTGAAGGAGCTAAAATCTGGGTCCACCGGGAGGTACTCCTTCAAGGCGGCGGCGTCATTCCCCCGTCGGAGGCTGTGTATGGGCATGCCCACGGATCGCGCCTCGGCCTCGGCCTTGTCCGCCCCTCCCGACGGGTCCGTCCCGGGGGTTGACACCAACCGTGCCGAGGACATGAGCTGGGAGGGCCCGTAGGTGTCCTCGTCGTCTGTGTCGTCGCCCCCTGTGCTGGAAAAGGGGGGGGACCGCCCTGTGCTGGGACTG